TATATATATATATACTGAAAGCCCTAGAGTGAGGGAGAGGACCTAACGCTGGCCTATGTCAAGCTTACTGAGGTGCCTACACCTCCAACCGCTCATTCAATCTGAAAAGAGACAGACAACACGAGCGTCATTGACATCGATAAGCTGCCATTTCTTGCAACGTCTCTGGCCAAGTACAGACAGGGTAACGGGGACCCCACCTGGAAGGCGTACAACATCAACAACACTCAAACTCTTCGTGATCTCTTTCATGCCTTTCTGCCACCTCACGGTTAGTGTAATTATGAAGGAGACATGGAGAACAACACTTGTCTCGGTAGACGGTGTTTCGGCATGCGTAGCACATGACCGAGCCATCGTAAACGGTGGCCCGGATGTTTTCCAACCCCCCACCCCCACTTGACAGTGCTGGATTTATGCACCAATTTATCAGCTTCCACCGGCAATGCGCGGCTATCTAACCCCTCCCCCCAATCATCGGCGAACGAAACTACAGCAGCTACAACCACTGTACGACTAGTACGCGGTTTTTACAGCTGACAATGATGATGATGATGTACCCGCAGCACAACCAAACACCTGTTTCATAATCACCACGTTACTAACATGCTGACACCAACCAAACAAGCTACGGTTCTGAGGCATCCGTGATCAAAAACCTGAAGACGCCCCAACTTCACTGAGAGCAACAACGAAGAACATTAGTGCTTCATTACCGTGCAAAATGCCCACTTATTTGAATAAATCCGTAAGACGGAATGTAAAAATGGAACGGGACAGAGGACTAGTGGTTAGTCTGCCACGACTATCAAAGAAGCTTGCATCTTCACCACTCAGTTAGACAATTTGGATAGGAACTAACAGCATGAACGCCATTACATCTTTCAGTGTAAACAGACACGGAAGGGTCGTGCGAGAAGGCGAACAGTACCCTTACTTTATGCAATACCCTTCATTTCTTCCTGCAATGTCATGCGCCTACCTCTGAGTTCCTTTTACCTCGGATTAGACAGCCAACGATAACTTAGTATTGCATGACTGAAGTAATAATAATAATCGTTCAGCTGTAGCACCCTTTCGGTGCCTATCTGCCATGCCACACGAAGGAGGCACGAGGGCTGGGATATTGTCAGGTTACCCAAGCCTAGACAGGGGAAGTCGAGAGGCAGAGGCCGGGTTCGAACGCTGAACCTTCCGGTCAGTAAATTCGCGCTCTAACCACTTGGGCCATCTCACCCCACATGACTGAATTATCTCAACTTGTAACGCTGAAACACCTTCCGCTTCACTAGAGACTCGTTTTCTGACTCTCTCATCACGAACTCACTCACTCCAGTCGATTCCGTCACCAAAACATGACTACTGGAAACTTAATTAAAATTGCTAAGTTCAACTCTGACTGAATGTATGACCACTAAGAACCACGACATTATGCCAATTTGGAGTCAAGCCAACTCATCCCCCCACCAAATCGTCGTACAAACAGGTGAACGTAAATCAGGAGACAACTCTACTGGTAGCCGTCAATAATACCAGTAACTTCCTGGCCCACGCAAGCTCGTGAAAATTTTTCGTGCTGAAGTGTTTGAGCAATCAATAAGAATTTTCAGTGAAATATGCTTGTGTTTGACTGGATGTTTACTGAGCACCATGATAAAACGGTCTAAGTTGATCAAGATATTATCAAAGCTTTTTCGATCCACACAATATGCGGAGTTTGCGAATGTCTTTTGGCATACAGGACTCTCAGTGGAACAAATAACGAGGCAATCCCTTGGCATGTCGGAAAAAAGCGTATTTCTTCACCTGAATGCTCATATAAAAGAAATAATAAGGGATCTAGGTGAGTGGCTCGCAGATCAAACGGAATCGGATCGTATCAAAGAGACTCAGCGAAGTCTCGAAGCACAAAACAATTTGAGAACGATTTCAACGCGTGAATCAACAGTCCATAAAATATCACAGACTACACGGGATCTTAATCAAACCTGGTTTAACCCCTTATACCCCTCACCTCTTTAAGCAAGGTCTCAACCGGCGCAGATGCTCCGAACGTCGAAGATACCAGATACCAACTCGTACATGTAGTCCCAGGAATCCTAGCTTAGACAAAGTTAGCTCAAGTTAGATATTTCTCAAACAGCAATGTAATTGTGATCAGCTGACACCTGCTTGAAACTTTCAACCAATACATCCAACCACTTTAATACACTACCTGATGACATAGGAGTGACCTTACTCAGAGTTCTGAGCTCATGTAACGAACTGAATCGCAATACACTAACAAACGAATGTGGAAGGAAACAACGAAAGGAATATACATGGCTCACCGTGATGAAAGCCCCGCAAGACTCAGGAACGACTTCGTAATCCTCACGAACAGTTGCCCCGCAGCATTCAAACTACAGAGACTGTAGGAAACTGGTGCAGTGAATTTACCGTTCTCTGGATTAGATCGATAGATTGCTGGATTTCTGGTTTAGGATAATCACGCACTGCATCTTTCAAAATTTTTTCGATCTCAGGATCGATCTAGGGTGGGGGTCATCATAAAATCAGGGGAACCTTGTCCTTGTAGACGACCGTCATTACAGCTGCCACAATTTCAGCTATCAGTAAAATCACCAAGAGGACCCCATACTGCGAGACGACGGTTTGAGATGCGAAAAACGACTTACCGTATACAACATGCACACATTCTCTTTGATAGCCCCACAGCAACCAAGAAAGCTCACAAGCAAAATTATAGCGCCCAAAACAATTAGTGCGATCGGAGCTGCTTGCCAAATTTTCTGCAGTTCGGGACCATAATCCGAAAATTTGACTTGAACCCAGGACCCTACTATGATTAACAGGAGCGCACAAATCTAGAGAATGGTAATGCACGAGTTATGCCTTACGAAGCAGATAATATTGAAGAAAAACACCGCACACTTCAAACATTTCATTCCCAGGCTGAGAGCAGCCATTGCGACGACAGACTCTAATTTGAATTGCCGCAACTTCTGAGCCTAGGACAAATGACCAGATGGCTCAATGACACAGACAAACAATCGAAGTCCGTTATTTTCATTGTGTTAGTCATCCTGTAGACAGTAATATATGGACGGGCACTGTGGGCTGAATTTCAATAAGTGGACAGAAGTTAAAAAGCTCGCCACGCTAGATACTACCCACCACTCCCGTTGCTACAGAATTGAAGTTTTTCACACCGTACAATGGGTATTTCGGAGCGAGTGGTTTATCGACAGAAAACCAATATGATCGGGAGCAAGAGGTGGTCCAAAGGGGCCGAAGCAATTTCCGAGCAGAGAAATTTGGGGTATTAGAATGGATGTCGTCGGATTTCAAACGGACTTCCCAGACACCCTGTGCTTCCAAACGGTATGTTCGAAATCGGTTTCCTTTTTCCCCTCGTGCAAATTTGTGAAAGAATCGTTTCGTTGTTCAATCTAATCACAGAGTACACACGAGAAATTGTTGAATTTTATTACTCCAACAAAACATTTGAGAGATAACCTTTGATATTTTGCCCACACTTCCTATTTTACATATAGTCCTAAACATGAAATCAATTTACACCGATTGCCCTCTGCAGCAATTGATAGACCAAAACAAATGTGGGCGAAATGGCTGCCCGTCGAACGTCAAACGCGGTATGCAATTACACACCTGCAACGCCTGGTGACACTTCAAACGCACGGGTTTACAGGATGACCAGATAAGCCGACTAGCTAACCCTCCTGACCCGTTTGTCTGCGCCAGCTGCAATGCAAAACACAACCAAGAGGAGAGCCCTCAAGAGCGATATCCAGTCCCCACTGCAGATTCAGAAAGACAGATGTCAGTGTTCCGCTTTGATCGGGATACTCGACGAGAAATTGGAGCGTCTTTCAAAGACACTAGAGGACACAGACCCTAAGAATGCAGCGATTTGGACGAAAGTTTACAAGTAACATTCTTCACTGAACGAGTACCTCGCGATATCTATACCAAGACCTCTGGCTGCGAAGAACGTAATACAACTCTCTGACGCGGTTATAAAGACCGCCACAGCGTCTTTAGTGGGCAAGCGCCTAAGGGAAACAGATTGATAATCTGTGGGGTCATTCTCCGGAAAGATCACGCCAGCGAAACTGACACAATCAGTCATTAGCAATGTCCTCAACAAGCCTAACCAAACGCTTTACGCAGAATGGTTACGACAGAAGCTGGGCAGGCGAACTCTTGGACGCCTTGTCACTTTTTCTTCCACATCTGACGTACAGAAGATCTTCGAGCGGACTGGAAGCATTCAGAAGACCAATCCAATGATCAGGAGTCAACCTGAGGATCGCCATTTAGACGCGCAAAAGCTTGGTCACAGCAGGTCAGGAGTGGAGGCACGAAACAGACTTACGCTGTGCACCAATTAAGCCGACTGCAAACTCATGACCAAGCCGGTTGTGGTCATGTCCCCTGTGCTCCCGAAAGCAGGCCGACGAAACTAGCTGCGTCCCCGGACAGCAGTTATTATTCGCTCACCAAAGGATTCTCGCCCACCGAGAGCAGTGATGCCCTGGAGTAGGAGAACCTCACATGCAAGCAGCGCCCAAAGTACGTGGAGCTAGCAACGCTTATCTCCGTAGAAGCTGCAGCCATGCACTCCTCAACAAAGTCACAGCCTTTGAACTGGACTGAGTCAGATGTGCGTGGACAAGAAGCGAAGCCAATCTCCAGCTCCACTCCGTCAAAAGCAGCTTCTCGGGTTGTGGACAAAACCGTCGCCCAGGACCCCGACCCCCAAAGCCATAAACATGACTACAGCCATTCCGAAAAGTTCTCGTACATCCAGTTGGCCACACCGATCGCTGACGGATTGAGTGTCCACACAAACACGAAAGAAGAGCGACTGCAGACAAACAAGCCACATAAAACTCGCCATATTAGAAAACTGCTGACTGGCTTCAAGGTGCAGTCCTCCGCGAAAACGAGCCTCTTGGGAGCACCACCAAAATCATTACTTCTTGGTGCCACCACCCAGCGCTCAGGGCCTCACAGGGACGCTTTTCCTGCCAAACCGCGCCAAAACACCCAAGAATCCAGGAAGGCGATAGCTTGCGGCAAACCTTTGATCAACAGCAACTTCGGTCGCCAAAAAGGGGTGCTGGAAGAGCTACAAACAGCAATGGTCGAAATTTTCGCCCACGTGGAAAAAACCCCGTCCCCCAAATCCAAAAGGCCCGAGCAAACCGGGCTCCCACGGAACGAAATAACCTCGCAGGCGAAAAGCACCCCCAGAAACCACAAAGACAGGAAGCAGACAACACCGTCCCAGAGGCTCCCTTGGAGCCTTGGACTCAGACTCAAACCCGGTGCACAAATATTAAGTCTGCTAAGCACCCTGATCACACAACTTTCGGCTCCTCACCCTGGGAGGCAGTAGAGACGGTGTTTAAATGCTTGTCTACAAACCGTCTCAGCCTTTTCAACAAACTCGGCGATGCTAAGCAGTCAGCTTGCCTTGATCAACCGTCCCTAATCGCACTCACAGAGACCTGCCTCGCACCAGATGTCTCTGACGCGTGATCTTGATAGACGGTTACTCCATTTTTCGAGCCGACTCAAAACGAGGGCGGGCAGGTGTGGTTGCTCTATACTTACATGCGGCCCTACCAATCCCGATTGTCCTCTCTGACACCACCCCGGCACCCTTTCGCGATGTACTGTGGGTCCAAATCCCGCTGCGCGAGTTCAGTTCTCTCCTTCTTGGCGTGGTCTACCGTGGCCCTTCGAGTCCCTTCACTCATCTCCTTCTGGTAGGTGACTTCAACGCCCCAAATACCTCTTGGATAGAACTCCAGCGCGTCAAATCAGGCGGGCTATTTGCAGCGGCGCTGATTGAAGTCGTTCAACAGAGCGCTTGGACACAACATGTTGCACCCACCAGATACCGCGCAGGCCAAACACCATCCCTGCTGGATTTGGTCATCACTAACGAAAGACACTTCGTCGACCAGGTAAAAATTACCGCTCCACAGGGACATAGCGACCGCCGTGCCGACCTTTGATTTCATCTGCTATTGGGCCAGAAATCCCAAACCCCAAACCTGGTTTCGAGACTTCTGCCATGCAGACGGCGGAGTACATTCGTCAACTCTTGCACAAGATCAACTCATTCTGCACGTTGGGGCCCGACGAGGTTCATCCAAGGATCCTGAAGGAAGCGTCCTCCACACTGGTAACTCATCTACACCTGGTGTCTTGTCAGTCGCTTGACGAAGGCCGCCTGCCCTCTGGGATGATCACGCCAATCTACAAAACTGGTGACCGACTATCGCATGGCAGCTGTAGGCCTATAAACCTCACTAGCGTGTCGTGCATGGTGATGGAACGCATTCTGAAGCCAGCTATCCTAGATCACCTTACTTCTAGCAATCTCATATCTCCAGCTCAACACGGATTTCTCCTAACCCGCTCCTGCGTGACAAACGCTCGTGTTCATGAACAGCTTAATCCAAGCCAAGGACGAAGGACTCATATCGGATGCCATATTTTTCGACTTCTCACAAGCATTTGATAGGGTCCCACACGTCCCGCTGCTCCACAAACTCGAGTCTTACGGGATTCAAGGGAAAATCCTTCGC